ACCTCGGCTTGGAAATGCGCGGAGGAAAGGCAGGTCGGACCTTGCAGTTAGGCTTTCTTTGCTCTTTTCTTTTTGAAGATGCGTTGCTGTTCCTGTAGAGACTTTGTTGCTTCGCCTCAGACCTATGTGACTCTGGTGGAAGGATCATGACCGAAGTCCTCTTCTCTGCTGCTTTGAATGGAACTGAGCCCAACCTGTTGTCCAGCAGTGGCTGGTCGGCGAGCAACGCCACCACCAAGTGTTCCCTGACCAAAACTGGCTTCCAGTTCTATTACCTGCCTACCGTCTACATTCTGGTCTTCATCACTGGATTTTTGGGCAACAGCGTGGCCATCTGGATGTTTGTCTTCCATATGAGGCCTTGGAGCGGCATCTCAGTTTACATGTTCAACTTGGCGCTGGCCGATTTCCTGTATGTTTTGACTCTGCCTGCCCTCATCTTTTACTACTTCAACAAAACAGACTGGATCTTCGGCGATATCATGTGCAAGCTGCAGAGGTTCATCTTCCATGTGAACCTGTACGGCAGCATTTTGTTCCTGACTTGCATAAGCGTGCACAGGTACACAGGAGTGGTGCACCCCCTGAAGTCTCTGGGGAGGCTGAAGAAGAAGAATGCAGTGTACATCAGCACCCTGGTCTGGGTCCTGGTGGTGGCAGTGATTTCTCCGATACTCTTCTACTCGGGAACTGGGATAAGGAGAAACAAAACCACAACGTGCTACGACACGACGGCCGATGATTACCTGAGAAGTTACTTCGTTTACAGCATGTGCACCACCGTGCTGATGTTCTGCATCCCATTCATACTGATTCTTGGTTGCTATGGGCTAATTGTGAAAGCTTTGATTTACAAGGATTTGGACAACTCTCCTCTCCGGAGAAAGTCGATTTACCTGGTTATTATTGTGTTGACGGTCTTTGCTGTGTCTTACCTTCCCTTCCATGTGATGAAGACCTTAAATCTAAGAGCCAGGCTGGATTTTCAGACTCCGCAGATGTGTGCCTTCAATGATAAGGTTTACGCCACTTACCAAGTGACCAGGGGTCTGGCCAGCCTCAACAGCTGCGTTGACCCCATCCTTTACTTCCTGGCAGGTGACACCTTTCGGAGGCGGCTTTCCAGGGCCACCAGGAAATCGTCCAGAAGAAGTGAACACAACGTGCAGTCCAAAAGCGAGGAAATGACTCTCAATATTTTGTCAGAGTACAAACAGAATGGAGATACCAGTTTGTGAACAAATGCGAAAGGTTTGGGAACGGTTTGAAAAAATCCTCCACTTTGCAACAGCAGGACGCTGTAGTGCTACAAGTGTGTGAGGAAAATCTACCAGTCTCTCAGATTCATTGTAGGTGAAGCCTCATTTCCGGTCCTAGAAAATGCTTAACAAAGTGGAAGAATTTTAATGGAAAATAACATGTCAAAATTTACCTTCTCCTTATAATGTTCTCATTTCCTTCTGACTTTTGTCAGATAAAGTAAAATGAAGTAAATCCCCTAAAGGAAGAAAGCGATCCAAGTGCTTCTGTTTTAATGACTGAGTCTCCCACATTCAAAAAATGTTCTCAAACTGCCTCTCTTTAGAGATAGGAAATAAAAATAAGAGCAAGCAGTATCTTCTCTTGTGAGGCTCAGTCTGCATACCTGGCCTTTCGCTCACTTGCCGTTGTATACAAGTATTTAAATCAAAGTCACAATGCAGTTATCTCACCTTTACAGTTTTATTATTTCTTCATCTACTTCTAGTGTCGGTAATTATTTGATAGTTTGGTAGCATTTACGAGTCAGTCTTCTTTGAGTGCCAGTGTTTTACAAAAGGTAGGCTTACTGATGTGTGCATGGTTGTGCTTTCAGAGTGTGATGGTTGTTCATGAGAAATCTGGACCCCCTTAGAGGCAGATTGGCTGCGGGGTGCACTGACACCTCAGCCACTGCAGGCAGACCCCAGGCTCGCGAGGGGCCCGCACACATCAGGTGTGTTTGGGGAGCGGATGTCGGCGTGCACACTCGTGCGGAGGTGATTTCAGCAGCTGATGGTGCCATCCTGCCCATCCAGAGGAGCCGCGGAATAGGGGCAGCTGCTCGTCCCAAATGCTGACCCATGCCTCGCTGGTGTTGGAGCATTGCCGGAGCTCTTGTGGGTAAACCACCAGAAACGTGTGCTGGAAATAACTGTACCCTGCAGACTAGGCACACGGCAGTTGCTGGAGTTACCTGTGTCTTCATGTGGTACAAGAATATTTCTGTTCTTGGCGATATTTAGAGATAATATAAGAGTTGTTTCCCAAGAAAAGAATTATTAAAATGGATAATATAAATGGATTATATATTATATATACATAAAATAATTGGGGAGAACTAATGTTTTTGTACTGTGACAAATAAATTACTGTATTAACAAGCTGTTGCAATATACTACGGACTAAATCAGACCCTTTATTATATATATATCGTCTCAAATGTGGAATAGGTCATCCAAAATTAGCCAAACTGCAATATTGTGTAACACAAGAGCTAGTGATCAGAGCACAGATGAAATCTTACACAGGCAGTCCTACTCATTTCTTGTATTTTTAAGACATGTATTTGAAAATATTGTGTGCTAAAAATGGTATGAAAGCATGCTCTAAATTATAAATTTAGTGTACAAAATTAAGTTCTATGTAATCCTAAGGGTGATTTTAACAGATCTTCGTTCCTCCAGTCTTCAGAGTAAGAGTAAAATATTTATATTTTACTTACTGATTTCTGGTGAGTAGTAACAAACAGGAATAGCTTTAGTTATTTTTTGACATTGTAAAGCAGCTTCTGTTCACACGTGCAGCTTCTTAATCTGCAAAGTCCCTATTTATTGAATTTATTTATTAGAAAACTAAATGTATGTAAAGTGTGGTTCTCCTTGTTCATATTTGGAATTGGGCATTAATGGGAAATTTAACAGCATGTTGCACTCACTGTAATACCGTGTCTTCTAACAGAACATCTTTATAATAAACTCAATTCCACCCTGACTATTCACTGTTGATATGTAACCTAGTGATAAATTAAACTCCTGATTTATAGCCTAGAGATAATTTAAACTGCTGCTTGGGAAGCATCGCTCCTTGGAGCAGTGTTAAGATCTCATTTAGCCCTATAAGATGAAAAATGCAGAGGTAGTGAAGAAATCCCAAGCAAGGGTCAATTGCTAATTAATCTCCAGTGACAAAGCCTGGGAAACAGCACAGCCTATTTATATCCCCAGAGAATAAGCCTGATTCACAGTAAATGACTTCTCCCATTATGTGATTATTGGAGACTTCATTCAGCTGAGCCACGTCTTGTTTGGAATGGCAGATGAAGTAGATGGAGAGAGCATAAAAATAGGGTACTCTCTCTCCAAATCTGCTTCTCCAGGTTTAGAATTGTGTTCATTTCCCAGCGTTGTGGTCCATTTCTCTCTTTTCCTTTCAGTCAGGAAATAAAATGTTCCACTAAGCCATGTCTGAAAAAAGACATGCAGCATGGAGCCATGGCAGAATGTAAAAGCCTACACCTGGGTTGGTCCTTATGTAGTTACGGTCTTTTTGCAATATGTCTTTTTAATACGGCAAAGTTGGCTGACTGAGGGTGTGTATGACATCCAAGTGCAGCAAAACTTGGTGTGGTAGGGTGGGCATCTGTGGGAGAGCCCCACGGTCCCGACACGGAGGGGCACAGTGAGCTTGGGACAGCCTTGCCTCTGCTGGGCTCTGCTGGGGCTCCAACACCTGTGATGGATTTATGCTGAAAAGCTTTCTCCGGTTCATCCTGCCTCACTGAAGAGAAGGTGCAGCTGGCCAGGTTCCTTACCTCACATTACTGAGGTCTGTCCTGATTAATGAATTTCCCTTCTGCTGACGATCAGCCATGGCAGGCAATAGCACTCGGCATCCTCACTGCACAGAAGTGTACGGGAGCCTCCTGCCGCATGTTCATTAAAGACATTTTACAGTTTGTTTTCCATCTCAGCTTCTACGACCTGCAGAGCCAACACCTCAAGCCGCATCCTGCTCAGATATGACTCCCTGCTGCACCACACCGAGATGGCACAGCCTGCGCTGAGTCCCGCTGGGAGGCTCACAAGCTCATGGAAAGCTCCTGCTCCTTTTTTTTAAGCATTGCTATATTTGACATGGGGCTGCAAAATCACACCAAATATATATCTACTCCCACATGATTATTTTTTACCTGCAGCATGGTGGCATCATGTTCATTGGACCACCCCAGCAGAGGGGATGCTGCTCAGATGTGGGGGTTTGGACACCACCGGAACAAGACCCAAGCAGATCCTCTCCAGGCAGTGTCATGCTGGAGCTGTTAGCCCTGGGCAACTGGCAAGGCTGGTGGTAAATATTTGCCTTTTGGCACTGTAATATATTCGTAGATGACAAATAATATTATACCGTATTACCATCTAACTATATTATATTACTATAATATCAACCACCAACCTTAGAAGCCCAGGGTGATCCCTGTGTTTATCCATAAACCTTTGTGCTAGGCATGGTGGAAGGAGCCTTTCCCTAAGCCACTGGACATGCTTTCTGCCCCATTGAATAGACAAGCGAAGGCAAGCTCAGATGCTGCCTTTGGGCTGTGTAATTCATAAGCAGTGACAATGATGAGCTGTGTTAACTGGGCACAAGATTCAGCTCATTGTCTTGCTACTTGAAGACCTACAAGGTCCACCTTCCCTCTCTGTGCTGATCTTTGACTAGCACATGAGATTAAACATTTTGTGATCTTGTGGTCATACTTTTAACCTATTTTATTTTTTCTGGGTATGTTTGGGAAATCTCTTAATAACTACAAATCATTCACTGAAAATGCCAAAAGGTTTGAAGTAAACAGTTATTTAGAGCTTCAGTGTTGCCGAAGCTCTTTACAATGATCCATTCGAAATGAGTTCTTATTCATTAGCTCTATTTTGCTTCCTCCAGCTCATGGGTTATTTTTTTTCTCTCATTTATCCCCATTAACTCCCACATACGGTAATCTTTAATACAAAATGAGATCAGTATGAAACCTACACATGATCTGCTGTCAGGTCGTACATTTTCCTAACGCAGCATGTAGGATTATTTTTTTTGTTTTAATCCAGTTCATGTGACACCAAGTTAAAGCCGTAACACTCAGAGGTGAGGGAGCCACAGCGTCTCTCCTGACCCCACTGTCAGCAGGGGTTTGCACTGAGTGGCCTCGTAAGCTGCCCCCAGCCCCAGTTCCCCCATGGGGTGCCTCTGGGAAGCTGGGAGTGCCAAAATGTTGCAGAGCACCCGGCGCTGTCCCTTTTGTGCCCCAGGATGGCAGCTGAAGATTCGTTCCCATTGACTGAACCCTTGGGCCATGCTGCGTGAGCCCAAAGTGCATTTCTTACCTGGAAAGTTGAGGCTGCAGCACTTGAACATGCTGGAGACAAAAAACTGCTAATTGCCTTTCTGAGGTGCTTTTAAACTTTTTTTTTTTTATTCCTTGTCACTAGTTTTTGTCTTCAGATTGAACTAGAACAAAATCATTAATAAGGTGATACATCTTCATACGGGTATTACTTATTTCTGTGATAAGCTCATTTTCCTCGTCTGTAGGTTCTTATTTGTTACCTGTGGTGGTTGGTCTCCATCTCTGGTCACATTTCTCAAGGGAGCTGCAGGCTTGGGGCTGAATTTAAACACAGAAATTGTCTCCTGTCCCCTGAGCAGCCACATTCAACAGCTTCCAGTCCTAAACTGGGGCTGATGGAGGCAGAGCTGTGGAGGGATGCTGCCTCTTGCAGGGAAATTGGGTTAGACCAACACTAAAACCCTTAACTTTAAAAAAAAAACCACAAACAGCCTAACAACTCCAGCTGCTTGGCCAGGACTGTTGCTTCCAGTTACATTTACTGCTTTATTTCCAACTTCAGGTGCTTTGCACTGAATCCAAATCTACTACACAACACAGCCTGGCTGGATCGGCACAATAATTTCAAATATTTTAAAGACGTACAACTTGCAAATTAAAACCACTACTTATTTTGTGGCTATGAATTACAGGGTGTTTCAAGGAGATACGTGAAAATGTTTATTTTTCTGTCGAACTGTGATTTTAATATTGTTGAGTAAGTACAATTTCTGTGTAAATGCTAGTGAAAGGCAACTGCAATGTCTGCAGCGACAGTGCTACCTGGTATTTAAGCTCAGGCTATGCAATTGCTTTAATTAAAAAGTAGTAAAAATATCCCCTTATTTGTCTATAATTCTAATGAATAAAGACTTCATTTTAATAAAGTATGGGGTTGTTTGCGCACACATTTACTGTCAGGCTTTTGAAGTTGTTCCTATTTTTAGTGGCAGCAGAAGTGCAGCCGCCGCGTTCCTGGCACTGTACCTAGCAACCCCGCTCCCAAACTGCTCCCATAAAATTATGGAACGCTTTTCCTGCTGTTAATTCACGTTTCCAGGCAATTCTTCAGACAGCAATATGTACGTAAAAACAGATC